ATACGACGTGTAAATGAAGATACGATAATAATATTAATAAAAAACTGATGTGTGTACTTATGTACGCACGTAAGATGCTAAGTTATACTTCTTTAGCGTACCAAAACGAATATAACCTCAAAAATAACTTTCAAAAACGCGCGCCAAAAGAAGTATAACCTCAAAAATAGAATAATCCTGATTAGATACCTGGACCATCGTAAGACAGGACCTTCCTAGTAGTACATTGTCCTGGTAGGGGTTGAAACTGTTGTTGTTGGTGCAAGGGTGGTGGTGGTGGTGGTTGGGCGGGTTGCAATTGCATTTGATGGTGCTGGGTGGTTGGATAAAGGGTGGAAACAGCGTTCATAGTGGAACCAGATGGTGGGTGTTGCTTATATTGCCCACTACCACTACCACTACCATTACCACTACCACTAACACTACCACTACCATTAACACCACCATTGGAAGCTTGTTGTTGTTGCTGTTGTTGTTGTTGTTGTTGTTGTTGTTGTTGTTGTTGTTGTTGGTATTGATAGGGATGATTTAAATGTTGATGTTGTTGATGATGTGGATGCGAATGAGAATAAGGTGAACACCAGGTATAATATGGCTGCCAAGAGGTGGCGGCATTTGTACACGCCACCCCTTTACCCTCCTCGCTCCCCATTCGCACTTTCCCTAAGGAATACGTATTTTTTGTTTGTTTTCGTTTGTGCTTCCTTTTCTTTTCTATCGAAATTTGTTTGTTCTTATTTTCTTTCTTGTCACGCAAATTCGCGTTCAACACCTTTAGTTTATTTAAAAAATTTTGTTTCTTTTTTCCTCTTGTTTTATCCCCTCCACTCTCGTTCGCAGTTCACTCTGTTCGATTTAAACCGTTCAAACGATTTTCTAACATATCTTTGTCCCGTTAATTCTTTTTTTTTTTTTATTTGCTTTTTTCGTTCACAGACGACTCGATATTATTTCTTTTTTTTTAGTTATATTATATCGGATTGATTTCAATTCTTTCTCTCTTTTCTTTCATCGTTTCTCACGTAATCACTTGTTACTTTTTTTTTCTTTTTTTAATCAGATTTCACTTCCTTCCTTTATTCCTTTTCTTTTTCTTTTTTTTTCTTTTTTTCTTTCTTAGCACTCTGATCGTTCACTGTGTTATTATTATTATTATATATGTATACTTTATTCCATTTCAACAGGTTGTTACTGCAACGCTTTTCACGTTTTTCCGAATAAATCGAGACTTACGATTATTTCGATTATTTTACGTTTTGTGATTAATAAAAATAATTATAAATGGGGAAACGATCGATAGATCTTTAAAAAAAAGGGGGGGGGGATAGGTATTGCCTTTTTTTGTTTTTTCGTTTTGTATTTTTCTTCTTTATTTCTTTCTTTCTTTTTTATTTTGTTTATGAGAAAAAAAAACAATAAACTATATATATATATATATATATATATATACCTATTTGCACTGAAACGCTTCAAACGTCGAGAATTATTTGCAATAAATATTTTCCCAGGCGTTTGTTAAAGAAAAATAGAAAAAAAGAAATACGTTGGAATAATAATTCTATTCAAAAGTCGAATTTTTATTCCTTCTATCTGATTTTTTTATCGTGCGAAAATGATCGTTCGGTATTTATAGTTTTTTTTTTTTAAATCAATCAAATTTTTTCAGCACGTAATAATAATATTTTTTCAACGAGATTTTCTTTTAATATACTTCATTCGTATATACAATAAT